TTGTGCTCGGGACGACGGGTTGAAGACTGCGATGGGATCTGCTCGATAGAGTGAAGCTATCGGCTTTAGGGCAAAATACAGTTTGCACAGTATTATATCGCCAATACTAAGACTGAACCCTATTTACATGAAGAAATTTACCTTAATACCCTTGTTCTTCTGTCATGCAAAGACCTCCATGTGATGGAGCTTTTTCCTTAGTCTCAGCGGTTTTGTTGCGTCAAATTTTAAGGTCGTAACGGCATAGCTGCCGGATACGTGACACCAAAATAGTCCGAGCTGGATGTTTTTGGGTTGTAGGCTATCCCGATCACCAAGCACTACACTTTAGGACGAAAGTGGAAGCTTATCTTATGAAGGGTGCACACTTTCATTGATCGGGTTCGATAACATCAGAAGGTGGAAAATTCGCAAAAAAATGCGACAGCTTTCTCCAAGAGTAAGCGGATGGTGCGAACAGGAGTGACATAAGGTTGTCAAAGAAAATCACTGGTATATGATGGAACGAGGGTTCTTTTCCGTACTGGCAGCAGGTCTCGGCAAATCATCTTTTTGTCCCGCCGCGCGGAGCCTAGCTATGGAGTTTGAGCGTAACAGAACTTTTGGCCCACACCCAGGAAGAAGCATAGCTATTTTCCGTAAGTTCTTTCACATGAAAATTAGAAAACCAGATTGATTTGAGCAAGATTCTTCAACATCCTCAGTAACGACGGTACCAACCTATTCAAGTCCAGGACCATAACATGATCGACACATTCTTACAAAGAATTCTGGATAAAGCTTCATTGTTTGGAATTTCTTGCTCTAATTCTTAAGAAAGAAAAAACGCTTTATGCGAAACAGAGCAAATGAAAATTCAAAAGACCATTTTTATCGCAGGTTAACTTCTACAAAAAACCTGCATGTTGAACATTTTGAGCGTCATCAATTTGTAAAGTCCTTCTTCGTCGTAAAAAGATGTCGTCGCTTCTGAACTTGTCTCGGCTAGCGCTGCGTTCACGCCCATGTGCATCGTGTCCACCATGGTGTCTACCATGGGATCCATGTGATCCGTGACTATCTCGTCCATGCCATGGCTTGAAATGATCAATGGCGAACCTCAGCACATGGAATAGCTGAATATTTAGGTTGTCTCAGAAGTTCGTGCGTATTTTGAACTTATGTTTGAGCCCGCTCTTTTCCAAGCACATGTGCAACCTATCATCGTTATATGTACCACCACTATCAGTGACTTGTTACCAACATCCAACCAAGGAATGGCTATTCAACTCTCAAAAGGCTGGCAGTTATGAGCTGGAAAAGGCAGTGAGGTTGATTTTGAGGTGCTCGTGGGAATTGTATTTTTTGTCGGCACGAAGGGCGGCTGAGCAGAAAGGGCAGATGTCTTTCGAAAGAGGATGATTACCGCTGCACGATGAATGTGGTAGGACTTTTCAGCTAAGCTTCGATATTGAGAATCGCTTCATTTTCGAAACGTGTAGTCTCAGGTGTCGTGGAGCGTACACACTTTTTTTGAGTTTTGACGGCAGTTGTTGGACTTTCACCGTGAGTCTCTGCCGTTGATCTGCCTACACATGAGTGAATTCATAGCTATAATGATTGACATGCCTTTAGTGGTTTACTCGAGAACGCACCAAAAGAGGTGGAGCACGACCTTGTGGTGAATTTCTTCACTTTTCACCCTCTTCTGTTCGATCCAGTCCCTGAGGATTCTAGGTGTGGTTATCATGAAACCTGAGCTTCTCAACTGCAGTAGTGGCTTTGTTCAACCAGGGCGTACGGGTGGAGTAGGAACCAAATTATGGACGGAGTGCGTGTCGCACTCCTGTCATCGGTGGTCAATTCATGGGGGAATCTTTGGCGAGGCTTCAAGCATATTTCGAAGGAGCGAGAACCTTCACGAATTGTGCATCTGGAACATCAGGATGTGGTGGCCACAAAGCAGGGAGCCCCGTGTGGAGTGGCTCCCAGGAAAGAGTACAGGCTCTCCAAATCCGACACTGATGACCTCTCTGAACGAGGGTTTGTCTACCAGCTGTAGTCTCCCAAGCAGAGAAGATCCAGCTATTCTGATACCTCACTGTTGGTGAGGCGCAAGGAGATGCACCGCGATGCAGACGCCGCTTTTGGCTTCAATCGGTTTGTGGCTCAGTAGAGCTGCTTACGTCAGAGCGCGAAAAACATAGCTCTTTCTCTCTTTCCACTTTGAGCTCGAAGAAGGCGACGATGGTGGGTAAGATTCGGGTATAATTTACTACACGGTGTGCCCTATCTACAGCCTACGTGAACATATTTAGAATTTGTTGAAGGAGCTTGTGGCATGAGATCCAATAAATACGCACGAACTTTCGAGACAACCTAATAGTTCGTTTACTTATTTACGGTTAATCATTTTTATTTGAAAGCAGCGGTTACAATGCAATAGGGACGGTAATGAAGTCCCCAAACTATTGATGGCAATACGAATGTGACGATTTTTAAACCGGGACGTGAAAACGTGGCATGACCCTAGATGAAAACGTCATCCTCACCACACTACTTGCAAGTTGTCGGAAATCTTGCCACTCGAACACTCGACTCATCAGTCGGAATTTTGCACTGACTTAGACCACTCAAGGATACATGAACTCATAGTCACAGCTAGCAGTGGAATCAGATTATCGATCCCGTGTGAGAAGTGACCGCTAAAAGAGTTACAGGCAGCCAGCCAGAAAAAAGCTCGTCGAAAGGCGACGCAGTGCTCCTCACTTACATTTCATTTCAGAAATGTCCCTCGGCGTGCCTTACCACAGTGGAGCCCTAGTTTCTGCTCTAGCGCGATGGAATAGGGTAGGGTAAAGCACAGTCTATGAGAGTAATACTACGTCGAGGAACTCTAGTTCGATAACGCCATTTACTACTCGCCAAAAATCTGCACAACTTGAGCTTTATTCTTACGAGTCGCGATGCATTAGGCAGAGGCGCTTCCCTGTAACGGGTATCCCAAACCATGACTTCATTGGGAGCCGGCTCTCCAAGAAGACATTTTCATCTTATTTTTGAGCAGGAATCGTGAGCTATTCGTCGTGCATGGGTCTGTGTGCATCCTCTATCGCCAAGGACTTCTTATCCAACCGCACGGCACCGCCTGATGGTGCGTGAAGTCACACGAGAATTCGAAGGGTCCGGTCTGCTGCCTTCAACTAGCTTGCTTTGATTCCTCTGAGCTTTGCAAGTGTCAGCACAAAATCTCGATATGCGTCACATGACGTGGACACTTCACGACAGTTCAAGCATACTCGCAATCGAATCGCTTACGCTTATCTTTTGAAAAAGCTTTTGGAAGATGAGTGATATGTTGAAAGGTTAACCTGAGAAGGAATGTAACCTTCAAATCAATGTCGCTTTCGAATTACTACGATAATGTGAACAATTTCAACAAGAGCTTACAGCTGAAAGCAGGGCCGACTTCATTTGCTCCCTAAACGACGATCATTTGTGTTAGTGTAAACTCATAGTAGTTCAAAAATCTAAAAACTGCACAAAAATACCAGAGATATTGCTGCGTAGCTCGGCCTATAAAAAAGACATAGAAGAAAAGAAAAATGCGGGCGGGGCGTCTTAACCCCTCACCGTCAGACAAATAAAACTCAGTTGTGAGGCGTAACAAAAATCCGATCATTCCTTTGATTCTGTGCATGCAATTCGTCAAGTGCTCGTCTTCGCTCTGCACGAGTTTGATCCTCGTTTTCCATGATTTTGGAAAGCCGCTCGTGAGCGGAGGGGAGATTGTCGATCAGGTTAGTGACATTCCGTTTGATTTCTTTCCTTATATTTGTCATGTTAGCATTGAACTCGTCGACCTGCTTCTGAAGTGCACAAGGCATATCTCCCAAAGTAGCTTTAAGTGTGTGAAATAAGTGATGATATTAATCTACCTCAACTCGCATACTTTGCGCCAATCCATGGATGCTCTTTGTTGGCAATGCGTCCTGCTCCATTGGATAAGATTCCATAGTATATTTTCCGGGCTTCGTCGCTGACATTATTCAGATACGGAGGCGAAGGTCTGCCATGACCTCCATGATCAGAATGATGCCCTCTATGAGACAGCACAACGGCACCGAGTGATAGAAAAAGGAGAGCAGCTCTCATACTGAAAAAAAAAAACTAAAATTGGACTAAAACTCCCGTAATATTAGGTAAAGACAGCCAGAGTAGATACAGGAGATCATCGATTTAATCTGACGCGCCACGTATTTGACAGCCACTTAGTTTGAGGCGTGTGATTATTGTCAGAAAATTCGCTGTACTTATGGACGGTACTGAAAAATTTAAAACAACACCTCCAATCGAATTTGTGGGGTCACAGCAGTTGATAGTAAACACTTTCGTCAAAATGCTAAAAAAGAAACAAAAGGCAAAAAGAAAACCGTCGATGAAGCCCAACAGAGGGACGAGTGGGGACAGACGAGTGTGCGATTTTGCCGCTCACGGCTTCAACGATCGTGCGTGTATGAATGCCGCTACGCCGTAATTTACGTACTATCATGGTGCGTACACGAAGTAACTCGTCCATATGCTTAGAAAGTCGCAAAATGCTGACTATGTAGGACCTAGCGCCATTGTCGCACATTTTTCAACGCCTCAACGTATGCCTGTACTCGCGGCTATCTTCCCAACAGTAAGTAGATTCTTCGAAAATGCTATTGAATTACACACCCGGATAGAATTGGAGAGGTAACAGTGGTCGATAACGAAATTGGGGATGCTGAACTGTCTGGAAAAAAAAACTAGGGCAAACTGCCTATGAAATAAGTAACAAGTGCTCCCTCTCTTCCTCCTCGAAAAGAGGAGCATTGCGCAGGGTATGAATGAGCGTAATCTCGTCCGCAGTGCCACTAGCACGATCGGATCACTTTGTAAGGCCGAGCGCCATGGTGCGCACTGTTGAAGCGAGACAACGCAAACGTATCCCAACCCTTATAAAAATTTCTGGACACGAACCTCATTGTTAACAAAGTTTTATTTTTTGCCAAATGTTTAGTCACGTTTCGTAGTAGCCCATGCGCCTTGAACTCGGCATCTAATTGGAAGGGAAGATTTGGTAGAGAGATAAACGCCTAAACTCGGACCTAATTGTAAGTGAAAGAATCTCGAGAATGATCCAGAAGGTCTTATAAAACAACGAAGAAGTGCCTATTGCCACTCCTGCTGGCGTTGAGTTGGACCAATTCGAACAAGCGAATGTCAAAAAGTCAGCTTAGTCGTTTAGAATGAGACAAATAATAACAAATAATAAGGCCAATGAACATAAGCTATATAAGGCTCGAGACGCGTGGTTAAAATATGCTCCCAAAACGATTTCTCGGTTAAAGTTGTGAAACCAGAAGCGCAGCGCTAGTGACCTTGACTCATAGACTTCATGCAAGTCCACACTTCTCCTCTTTTCAGAAATATGTTAAAAGTCTTTCAGCCGTTTTTATGAAAAGAGGAAAGTACGGACACACATTGGAGTCGCCCACGGGCTCCTGCATGGAAGTCAGGGTCACCAGCGCTACGGTTTCTTGTTTCATAACTTATTTTAGAAAATCGTTGTACAAAGAACGGAAGCAAGTTTGAGCGTCTCAAGGCATGCATACAGTTATACACTTCATTATAAACGACCAGACTGACCACTTGACCTACTTTCTGATGTGTAAATTGGCTAGGAGCTGAAGAATTAAGATTTCGTTATAGTGAGAACAATCTGCATGAGGTGTAAATTGTCTGGGAGCTGATGAATTAAGGCGTCGTTGGAGTGAGAATAATCCGTGTGAGGAGGAAGAAGCAAGGGAGGAGCGCTGAGCGCTGTCAGCTGATCCTGATGTGCTACATTTTTGATGCTGATCATTCATTGTGATGTTTTATCACTGGCGCCAATAAATCTGATTTCTCTTCGACATCAAAGAGCCGCCGTCTTCAAAATTGCTTTTTCGATGTCCGTTTTGTTTGCTTTCTATGTGATGGGTAGTGGGAGAGATAAGATAGGTCGATGAGTAAGCATGAGTCCCGATGTCGGCGTGTAAACAGTGAATGTTCCGAGTAAACGAGCTACTCGAGTGGTAAGTATTCCTACGGATCAGAACTACATCTTGTAGTTTAGAGAAGGCTGATCTTCCGTGTGATAGGCCATTTGACAAAGGCTGTGATATAATCCGAAATGCCATAGCTCCACCGTCAGTGGCAGGGAGTTCTGCCCAGGCTCACCAGCTTTTCAAAATCACTGATTTGTGCAGATCTTGGTCGAGAAATGCATGGACCGTAACCCCTTCCAACCAGAGCGGCGCTATGAACTGCTGCGGAATAGATGGAAGCGCAACAAAGATTCTGTTTTGTCCCTGGAAGCCGCCATAACGCTTTAACCCTTGATATACGACTTTTTCGATATTGAGATACCAGATGATCTGAACAGCTTCCCCCTGCAACAGAAAGAATCATGCCTTTAGAAGCTCTGAGCCGATTAGCGATTGACATGGAATCCGATCCACGGACGCGAACGCATACGTGCGGTACACCCAGCTCCACTTAATCATGCACTCATCCTCCTCCCGAGTCCGAGTGAAATCTATAATTGCTACCGCTCACCGATACGAAATCGCTTTTTCGTGTAACCCTTTGACGACAATGGCACCCACCGGTGGGTGCCACTATGTTCGTCGCGTGGGACAATGGCACCCAATGGTGGGTGCCACCTTAAAATTTCCTACTTTGTGCATTCAAAACATTTGTAACACCCCAATAATTATAAGCAAGTTCCATAATATCTATGGCTAGCACACTTACAGAAATGTTCACCAAGAGCTGATTTATAGAATTTTAGAAATGTGCCATTTAGCTTGCCACCATATTAAATGGGATTTAACTATAGCGAAGAAATAATTACGAATCAGAGGAACCTTTTGTCTTTCATAGCCTTAGATAATTGGACAATACGTTGAAGTGTGCCGGTAAATTCTCTTGGACACTATAGAACTTTCGTTTTGCCCTCCTTCCCTTTGAAACGCGAGTTCCCCATCCAAATTTGGAAATTCTCTTAAAAATAATTTACAGTATGAAAGCCTAGAACTGCAGTTATAACTGGTATACTGTTAGAGTCGAAAATTCTACAGAAAAATTGCTTTAAAGGACAATTTTGCCTAATTGTGAGCGAGAGTTGGGCGCGCCAAAAACAGGCGTGGTCCCACGAGCAAGCTACGTGCAAATCCGCATTGTCGTCAAAGGGTTAAGAGGGTCACTGTGGTATTACGAGTGCGCGAGACTTTCAAACTACATTTTCGTGAACTGCGTCTGTTGAGCAGTGACGTGTGGTAAGACATGCTTTATTATTTAACTTCTCTAGAAGAACTCACCTAGACTTGTGACGATTTCGTATTAGAATAAGTTTCCATTTGTGCTTAACTCTTCGATCAAACGGGCGCTACTGCCTCAGTAAGTCCCAAAACTGTGGTAGGGCCTTTGACTACGGAAGTGGCCAAAGGCCCTACCATAGTTTGGGACCAGGTAATAGTTTTGGGATTCTCGGATAATAGGCTATTTTCTCAGTTTTTCCTTTCCTCTATCGCTTACTATTTAACTTAACTTTCAAATGGCTGAAAAAAACATGTGTACCAGAAGGGTTAAAGGAAGATTCTGCGATGGGGACGAAGGACGAAGAAGGGGAAATTTGCCTAGCGAAGAGGCTACGCACCGACACGCATTTCGCATCAAAGGTTGTAGCCCCGGCGATCTAGCATGGTCTTCCAGTCGGCTCAACTGGCGCGCTATGGACGCCGTACGCCCTCCCCCCTTTCACACTTTTCGCATCGACTCATGTCTGAGGCTTTAGCCGTTTAGCAGAGAGGGCGCTTAACGTTGAAGATGCGCGAATTGCATCAATGCGCGAACCAACGAGCAAGGAAGGGGTTCCGTTACTCAGGTAATCCGCCATTTTCTCGTTTTTTCTTCTTTTATCACTGACCCTAATTTAATTTATTTTATTTTTAGGGCTGAAAAAACACTCCTTAAAGTTGAATGTAAACATTTCCGCGGATAAAGGAAGTGTTGATTGATCCATTGTAAATTGCTGCGACACTAAGTTAGAGGTAACCCAATAGCCGCACAAAAAAGAACACAAAAATGGCTAGTCATTTTGAATGGTTACTAGCCATTTTTATGTTCTTTTTTGTTAATTGTGTTATAGCTGTTGTGCCTGTTTTTGACGGAGTTGCATATCATAATACCTGTGTAAATAGAAATTGTTAGTCAATTGGTATTTTTAACTATGCGCATACATA